GTTTTTTTCTTCTTTTTGATTAACCTGGACATGTTCCCGTCCGTTTCAGTTACTTTTTTTGGGTAAATTACAACGATACGAATCGGAGGATGTCCTCTGTAGGTGAGTTATTCTTTAGAGAGAAGAATGCAGGGAACAAATTCAAGAGAAACTCACTAAAATATCCTTGTGTTAAAGGTGATGAATCCATCGACTGGGGCTCACGACACGGACGACACCTGGAACAGAAGACAACCTTTAGTCATTTCTTTCCTTTGGCACTAACAAACATAATTTCACCAACATATTAAACGTTCTGTGCACGTTTCTAGCAATAATCATCACGTATCCAGATCATAGCACTGACGGAAAAGCATCCAAAGCGTTGGCGGCGGGACATCCTGCAGGGTTTGACCTGCTCATAACTCCATCATCGTCGGTGAGTTTCACAGGTATTTGTGGTATTTTGTCAGGCTCAAATACAAAGCCCAGCTGCTGACAACGCAGACGAGTCCCGACCCCCGTTGAGCTTTTGTCTCGCTCTTGTCGTTTAGTCCCACCGAGGCCGCTCTTAATTACCGGATTACCTTCCTTATTCTTCGTGCATCCAAGGGGAGACGCCGAGGGTCCACAGTGACTCACAGACGCGAGGCGGACAGAATCCAGAAGCTGTGATGTCTGGGGAAGGAGACTTCTGGATCAGTGAAGAGACCTTTGGTCACAAGACACCAGGGCCATTGAATTAAAGAGTCCATATCAATGTGAAACTTCACGTCACTCGATTCAGATCACAGAGGATCGTAAAAACTCATCAACTACTGTAACAGCACGCGCTTAAAAAGTCTCCACTAAGAAAAAAAAACCCATCAGAACTGGACTTCACTTGATCTTCTTCGTCGCCACTAACGATCCTTCGGGCCCCGGCGAGGTTCCACTCAGCGCCACAAGATGTCAGCGTGGACTCACTAAAACCTCGAGAACAGTTCAAACGCCGCCATGGGAGCAGAGGCCGCACCGGGCGCCAAACACTGGACCAACTGGGGGCTCCCGGCCAGGGGCCCCTTGTTCGGGATTAGGGTCTACGTATTTAAGCGCAACCAAGAGGCTTCTCCTGAGCCGGGCAAAGTGGGTCTGTTGCACCTACCGAGCTGACTGGGTTCGACCCGTTTGATAGTTCTGTGGTCATCTTACAAAAATAATGGTGTTGAAATAATAAGACAATTGAACATTTTACATCATTTCTTTTGCCGCCCCCCCTCCTGTGCCGACCTCCCGAGAGACGACACAAACAAAGTCAATGTTAAAGGTTCTGGGGGACGTTCTACCAGCCCGGTGGGAAGCTGGGGGAGGGGCTTCTCTTCTTCTGCGGCTCCACGCGGCGGCTGTCCCCGCCCCTCAGCACGTCCTGCTGGCGCGCGAGTCGGCAGACAGCAGCTCGTTCTTCACGTTCTGAAGGTGGCTGTTGTCCTGCGGCACGCCGTCCGCGTGGCCGTACGGGCGGTTCCTCCGGTTGGACCGGGCCGAGCACCTCAGCGCCGCCTTCGCGATGAGGTAGCCCAGCTCGGCCACGTTCAGCACCATGCAGATGGTGGACGAGGACACCATGAAGATGGTGAAGACGGTCTTCTCCGTGGGCCTGGAGATGAAGCAGTCCACCTTGTTGGGGCAGGGCCACTGCTCGCACTTCACCAGCCGCGGCATCTGGAAGCCGCCGTACACGAAGTACAGCGCGTACATGAAGCCGCCCTCGAAGACGAGGCGGAAGAAGAGGCTGCAGGTGTAGGTCCACCACAGCGGGCCCGCGATGGGCAGGCGCCTCCTCTTCAGCGTCTCCAGCTCGTTGTCCGTCGTCCGCTCGGCGCCGTTGGAGGCCAGCATGGTCCTCTTGTCCCCGCGCTTCCTGTAGGCCACGTGCATGGCCACCAGCAGCGCCGGCGTGGACACGAAGATCAGCTGCAGGCACCACAGGCGGATGTGAGACACGGGGAAGAAGTGGTCGTAGCAGACGTTCTTGCAGCCGGGCTGCTGCGTGTTGCAGGTGAAGTCGGACTGCTCGTCGCCCCAGACGCTCTCGGCGGCCAGGACCAGGATGGTGATGCGGAAGATGAAGAGGACGGAGAGCCAGATCTTCCCCAGGCTGGTGGAGTGTTTGTTGACTCCGCCCAGCTGGGCGTAGAGCACCCCCCAAGACATGGCGCTGGCAGGAGGACCACCTGTGATGACGGAGGACCGCCTGAAGAGGGCGGGAGTTCAGCAGAAGAAAAAAAAAAAAATTAACAGCACAGAAAAACAAACGTTCAAAACGTTTAGCGTTGGCCCGTGTCACATGACCACTATTAGTGTCACATGACCACTATTAGTGGCATCGAATCCATTTATCAGGAGGAACGGAGGAAGAAAAGGCCCCAAAGTGTCAGAAGCGCTGCCTTCAAATGACTAATGTTGCTCAGAGACACAATTACTGGCCGAGAAGAGACGCAACAACCAAACAGAGACACAAAACGCCCACAAAGACACACAACAGAACTACAAAACGCTGCTGCTGCGCATTATTCAAGATGCAAATTGAGAAAATGCACCACAGGAAGTTGTTACTATTTTAGTTTGTCTATGCTTGTTGTGCGACATGGGCTTCAAATGAGTCTCTGCATAAGGACAATATATCCTCCTCGAATATACAAAGAGAGCAAATAAAGACACAAAAGTATTACCACAACAACACACAAAAAAAATACACAAGATGACCACAAAATGACCACAGAAATGATCAGAAAGTTAACACCGCGTGTCAAAACAAGAGAGAAGTGTATCGACAGAACAACACAACTCACATGGAAGAGAAGAGCTTGTTCACCTAGAATTTGTCATTTTAAAATTCCTTTTCAAAGTATCCTGCTGAGCTTATTTCACTTGTAACATGTTCTAAATGTACCACATTTACCACTACATTGTTTGTACTGATCCCATCTGCTGTCATATGTAAGAATACGAGTTATTGTTTTAAAAGGTAAAGGTGGGATTCTTTATTTTGGTGGCACAATTAAAGAGAATTCACCTTCAATGCTGCACATATAACGCTGATATAATACTTGTTACGTATTAACGTACTAAGTGTAGCCTTGTTGTTTGAACATCACTATCTCACCTGTTTGTGAAGAGGTCGTTTTGAAACAAACAGTCGCCCCGAAGAGAAAAACAATAAATCCGGAGTTATTGGAAGAAGAGGAAAGTGTCTTCGCTGGACCAGGTCCGTGTCGTGTTCCGTCCTCCGGATGATTGAGACACACCTGAGGCTTCTGCCGGCTTTCACGGCCCCTCGTGGGGAGGAGCCCGGGAGGCGGGGCCGGGGGCGGGGCTATGGGCGGGGCCTGTTGCATCCCCCTGCAGCGTCGTGCGTTTCATAGCGAGCAGAGAAACGTTCACTGGATATTTAACGGGGAGAATCGAAGCATCTCGTCGGGTTAAACTCTTTTATTTAAAGTACAGGAACACAAGTACTCAAGTAGCACCGGGTAGAATACTCAGTACTAACGTAATACATTTAAAGTCACAATTTACCTGCACGTAATATTGCAGCATTTTTGATTTCAGAATATATTATTGCATCATAATTAGTGACCCATTATGTTGCAGAATAGGTAGAATTAATTGGATTTAATTTAGTTTACCTAAACTCACTAAGCACGCTTTGTTATTGGGAATTTTCTCCCCATATCTTTTTAATTTAATGTAATCTAATTTAGTTTGAACATTATTTATTGTTATCTGTCTTAGTGTTAGGGTGTATGTGTTTATCCCATCATCACAATCATAAGGTTTTATCTGAAAAAACACTGATTAGATTTATATATAAACACGTTTTACCATCTTCCTCCTCTTATCTCTTGCATTATGAATTCTAATTGCACGTCTTTCACAAATTATGGTAAAATATATCTAGTAACGTCTATTGTTTGCATTGCTCCACAATATGCTGTAGTACACATATATTTGATGTATATTTATACAAGTGTAATGTAATAAAGTATAATGAAGTAATAAAGTAAAGTAAAAATGTTATGACTGCAGTAGCCATATAACATTTTTACTTTACTTGAGTACTTTCTTCTACTTTATAATTCTATTCCACTATTCTTATTCACTAACGGTGCTTAAATCAAGATCACAAAAGATAAAAGTAAGCAGGATATTCATGAGAAATGATCAATGCAATATAATCTAAAATGAATTAATAAGGCTTCACTCTTCCGCAGAGGAACATTTTATTGGGAGAATATAGAAAGTACATAAACAGGAGGCTGTATTGTTTTGATTAAATTGTCCTTTAGGACCTGATGTGATTCATTTAAATCAAGTCTTTAATCCTCCAACAACCGTGAGATCAAACGCACTGAAAGCGTCACTCAGAGGACTTTATTCTTGACCCCCGTGGTCCTTCTTCAGCTTGGCCAGGCCCATGAGGAGCTGGTCCCGCCTCTCCACCCGGGCCGACAGGTGCCGCCGCTCGCTGGGGACCAGCTGGCTCATCTCCTGGGGAGGAGGACACGAGCGTGAGGACGAGCGAGACGACGGGTGTGAAGACGAGCGAGAGGCCTCGTTAATTCAGCCCCGCGTGGCTAACCCGTTAGCATCCCGTGGTGGCATGTGACTCGTGACTGAGCGAGGGGGACAGAGGGGACAGAGGGGACAGAGGGGACCGAAGGCGCCATCGGGCGGACGGTTCTCTCCACGAGATAAAACATCACACTCACGTCCACGATTCTCCGGGCTCCCTCGGTGCCGGAGAAGTCCGGTACGGGCCCGAAGGAGGTCAGCATCCTCCTGATGCCGTCCCCATACCGCTTCATGTAGTCCTCCAGGCCTGGGGGAGGATCGGGGGGGGGGAGATACGACAGCTTCAGCTCCTCGTCATCAAGAGGTGAAAACGCTGTAAATCACTTCACTCTCTTGAACATTAAACCTAACAAAGTACTTTGTACGAAGTACGAAGGAAGGAACTTTATTTTGAAAAGCCCGCATGCATCCTGGTGGATAATTAACGCGGAGCAGCTTTTCCCCGAGTGTCCGAGCCGTAGAAGCTCCGCTGGCTGAAGAGCTTTGAGGGAACTACTCTTATTATTAATAAGACCTCTTATTGTTGATATATAAAGCATATAATAATATATATATAATAATATAGAAATATGTGGAGATAAATAATCAGAAATGAGGAGAAACTACTCCACACCAGCTCCTTAATTCAAACAGGTCAAAGGTCACCCTGAAACAGATCTTTGTCTTTTCTTTTAACGTTATTCAGACTTTATTTAGGACCAAAGAGGCGTTTTAAAGGAGCTGAACGGTGGTGTGATGGAGGAGTGGGAGAAGCCTCCTGCCCCCCTCCTCAGATGTCTGTCTCCTCCTGGCTGGTCAGTCCGATGTCTTTACTGTCCGCAGACTCGGGCCGATGTCCTCCGGAGCGCCGCGGGGCAGAAACTGCAGCGCTTTTGTACGTTTTGTATGTAGATGACAAACACACGAGCCGATCACACGGCGCTAAATATGACACTTTCCCTTCTTTCGACTGACTAATCGAGCCAAAGACACAGTGAGGAGCCAACGACGCTGCCGTGTTTCCTCTCTGACATTTCGCTGCCCTGAAACCGGATTCTACCGTTCGAACCCGAGCCGGAGAAACGCAGAAAAGAGCGCAAGCACTTCGCAGACGGCAGCTCCCTGTTTTCGTTTTCCCTCGGTCAGAGACGGAGAGGCTGAGTGCTTCTCTATCTGATGGGAAGGGTTTAAAGGGGAAGAACAGGGGATCTTCCTGTGAACACAATCGTACCTCCGTGTCCCGGAGGGGGGGGGGGGGGGGGACTTGGCCACTGTAACTACAGGTAGATTTGGCACCGGGTGCTCTGTGAGTTTTGGATTACTGGTGTGAGGGAGGGCGTTCACTGGGACCATCAAAAGACGCTTTGATCCTGTGTGTGTGTGTGTGTGTGTGTGTGTGTGTGCGCCTCTCTTTGGGTCTCACACTCAACTTTGATATTCTCCACCTCCCTGAGGGTTCACGCTCGCTCCCCGTGTGTGAGACCCGGCGACGTCCTTCCTCAAAGACGTGAATCACTGTGAGACTCCACTGAATTACGTGGGTTGGATGGCGATCAAAGGGATTCCCGTACTAATGATCTGCATTCCAAACGGAATCCTTGAATCTGTTTCTGCTCTGAACGAATGCGTGGTTTCCTCGTACCTGCCGGCGCGTTGAGGTGCATCGTTTCCATGGGGCCGATGAAGGCGTAACGCATTCCCAGCCCCTCTGACATCACCAGGTCGATGTCCTTGACGGAGATAACGCCGTCCTGACGGAGTGGGAGAGAAAGCACACTTCATTTGTCCCGAGTGAGTAAACGTATGACTAGATAACGCAAATACTTCCTTTATCAGCGGGTACGGCGTGGACCGGGCCGCAAATATGTGGCCTCGGGGTGTAAGAACAGACACATTCAGGTCAGAGGCACCTTCCACGGGGGCGGGGGGGGGTACCGGGAGGAGAGTGGCTGAGGACGGAGGGATGGAGAGACCCGGGGGGGGGGTCAATGATCTTTGAGTCAGAGATACCTGTTGGCCCACACCGAGGTGGGGGGGGGGGGTAATCAAAGCTCGGACACAGAGGCAGGGGGACAGGGTCGTCTTTGTTTGGGTCCAGCGTCCAACAACGGGTCCGTTCTCTGGGGTCTTTTCTCCACCGCAGTCACTGGGGGGCAACCGGCCGCTTTCTCAGCCGCTCTGCTTTCCAGCGCTGGCCCCGGCTCAAGGGGGGGGGGGGGGGGGCTGTTATGTAAGAAGGCCACTGTGGGGTCACGGGCCTCTTCTGCTCTGTTTCTGCCTCCTCATCCTCTCTGGGATCACAAATCAACAAACCGGCTTCTCCTGAGACTTCGGGTTGAAACAGACATCCAGCCGCTTCCTGTGACCCAGCCGGGACTTCAGGATTTACCCGCTGAGCAACTTCCACCAGAGGAGCGGTGAAGGAGGAGGAGGAGGAGGAGGAGGAGGAGGAGGAGGAGGAGGAGGATCATTCCTGTCGGACAGGTCGCTCTTTTTCAAACACGACGACGTCGTCATTTGCGCCAAAAGCCTCGAGCTACAAGATTGTACGTGACTGAAGTGAGCGAAAGAAAACAGAAACAAGACGCCTGGATGAAGGTGAGAAGTCAGCTGGTTCATTTGTCACGACATGTAATTCAAAAAATGTCTTTTTTACTTTAATTGTCCCCCCACAATTATTTCCACGTTCCGCACCCGGCTGTCGACGGGTAAGATGATAAAAAGCTTTGTGTTGCACTCAACCTGTGGCTCATTCCACAGACTTTAACATCACTGTGGGACTTTTGTCAGCTACGACCGGACGGCGTCCTCGGGGGTTAATTCTGCTCCCCAGGGGTGAGCGGGCCCGAGCGCGGTACGGAATGTCATGTCCACGTGATGCTGAGCGTCCACAGGTCAGTGCGAAGACACAAATACCAGCTGGTGGGCGCGCGGATGCTCTGTGGCGGCCTGCAGGAGGGACGCCGACGCTCCGCTTCAGGGATTCCCAGAAGCCGGCGCCCCCACCAAACGCCCCCGCCCCCCTCCACATGTCACTCAAGGAGAGACGCATCCAACAGAAATAGACTTAAAATGACCACAAAGAAGCTTTAAAATGATGAAATCACACAAATCAGCCACAAAAAGACCACAAAGAAACACACTTATTAAAAGAGAGAGAGACTGACAGCGACGATGGAAACACAAATCAACAAGCACACAGAAATGAGCGTGACCACAGAAAGCGACGGGGAACGATGACTGAACCCATCTCTTAAAACCACAAAGAGACAGAAAGGCCGGTTTCACCGCTGCTGCATTGAACGCACAAACGAGAGCTTCCACTTTGCTCTTCAGTGAAGCGGGAAGCTCCTCTTGAGAGGAAAAGCGCCCACGCACACTCCACGGGTCACGTCGGCGAGGCCCTCTCCTGCGGTCATCCTCCCGCGGGGACGGGTTCGGCCCGAGGGGCGCCGGCGGCCGTTTCCGGGAAGGCAGCTGCTTTTTTTCGGCGCGAGTGACGCCGCGGCGTTCCGTCTGCGCGCGAAGGCGTCACAGTGCGCGCTCGTGTAAAATCGCGCGAATCAAAGCGCCGAATGTCGCTTTGACATGGACGCATGTGATGGACGAACCTCGCCGCCAGTGATCCATTCGTCCCTCTTCTGTGCCGGACCAGAGGGTAAATAATCCGTCCAATCCGAAGATCACATGAGGCTCCTTTCGTCCA